GACCCCACATGACTCGAAACATCTCTTCGCATGCCTGGAAAACCCGAAAACCATAACGGCCTTGTCCTTGTGGACCAACCCCACAGAAGCTGCACGCTTCCTGGAGCTGCCGTTAGTGGAACTTGACGACAACGACTGAGATACCAACCGACCAGGGCGGGGTTGTTGTAGTCGCTACAACAACAACAACAAAAACAAAAACAACAAACTGCGCGAGTAAAATTAAATTTTTAAAATAAAAATTTTAAAGAAAAGACAGCTATAAAGCAAAGTTCATCACAATTATTTGTTTGTTTAATCAGGCGACATTTAAAGGGTAATTCAGATCCTTTAGAGCTACCGAGTGCACTGTAAGCAAAAGTTAATGATCTTAAGGCTTTTCTTTTATTATCGCTTTGAGTTCATTTTCAGAGGACTTCCAAAAGAAGCTGTAGTATAATTGGTTAATAAACAAATGAACCACTTTGTGTTCAACTTCAATATCTCCGCCCATAAAAGCTTGCGCACACACTTCAATTTTCGCTCCTAAATACGCCCCAAAAACATTCCCAGTAACCACAAAAATGTAGTCGCCTGCGTACACACTTTGTAGCAACTGCAGTAGTCAGTCGAAAGTTGCCAGGTGCCATCTGTAATATCGTTTTGGCAACTAGCAATGCAACTGAAGTTCGATTGCTATCGATAATTGACCCATTACGTTTTTTGATACAAGTATGTACTTGTTTTGATACCTACTTGGATCGCAGTATAAAATATCGAGTACTAAAATACTTGGTAAATTGAGAAAAGTATCGAGTATGTAGTCGGATTTACTTATATCGATTCATCACTTCTCTGGAAATACATTCATATATTTGGTAATTTGTAAACAAATACTCCGTACCGCAATAATAAACAAATAAACAATGAAAAACAAGAGGTTAATGCATCCGCGAAATATTTTTCGGACGCCTCCAGACTACACCGCTTTGGCAATCAAGTACAAAGATTTTCGCAAAGTTTGTAAACTGGTAAGTGGGTGTACATAAATAAGTACTACCGGTCTCTACCAAAATCTCAATCCCGTGCAGGAGCTCAGTGGAAAGGTATGCATCGATTACCGCAATGAGTTCACCTTACGCGCGCTCACACAAATGCTATTGGAAGAATACTTTCAACTACGTGTAGAATTCGCACCCGGCAGTCTCATACCCACATTGCCGCTCCGTTTGAACTACATTCTATGGTTGGAAGATTTGCTCACATCACTTAAGCTTGGATCAACACAAGAAATTCGCTGCATAGATATAGGTTCGCATATCTAATTATAAAATTGCGTACAATGTAATTTTCTTTCATTTCCCCAGGCTGTGGCTCGTCTTGCATTTATACTCTGCTGGCGTCACGTAAAAATTCATGGCACATGTATGCAATCGAATCAAACGACACGAATCTGAATTATGCAGAAAAGAACGTAGAAACAAATAAGCTACAAAATTTGGTAGAAATCTTCAAACAGATTGACAAGCAAGTCGTGCTTACAGATTTTTTCCGCACCAGACAGGATGTAACATTCCACTTTTGCCTCTGCAACCCACCATTTTATGATTCTACGCTACCCAATCCTTTTCATGG